TCTCCGTGGCAAAAGTCCCTCGGCAGCAAATCGTCCCTCGCGGCGGCATATTACTCGCGTCGCTCAGAGAAAAAATTACGCCCACGCCCAACAAGACTGCGAAGGAGGCTAGGTTGGAAGACTGTTATTGTTGTTGTTGTACCTTTGGTTAGGCCACTTGGTTAGGCCTAGACTATGGACTTCTCAAATGCAATAGGATGGGGAAAAAGCAATTTTTATAAATAAAATTACAGATAGACATGAAGGGTAATAGAAAGTAATCATTTTCTCTATACTTTTATTATAGAGGAGAAAAGGCGGGGAGCGTTTTCATGGACGAACGAACACTACGGTCTCAGCCTCTATGATTGTTTTCCGACTTCGAGAGCGATCCAGAAAACCTCATGCAATATACAGAATGCGACTAAAAAGTACAGACCGTAAATCTTTTCAAGGATCCTATTGTATGTTGGGAAGCACGGGGCACTGGATACAGTAAGCATCGCGCACACCTTCTCATATATACTGAAGCGTCTTTGAATGAACCTCCTTGTTTTATGGATGGAACCCACAACGCCTTGCGTCTCCCAGCATGCAATGGGAACATGTAAAGGCCTGTGTCTCACACAGCGAGGTTTCAGACACTATTCAAACGATGACCGCTGACAACTATGCGCACGTGTAGTTCTTTAACTATCCAATGCAGTTTTTAGGGCTTGGACACCCGATTTTTTTTTCAAAGCCAATATTCTAGTCATTTATCTACATACTGAGTTGAAACAACGCAATCCCAATGTATATTGGCCCTCATGGAACAAAAATACCCAAAATTCTGACGGAAAACGGTTACTGGAATGGCCCTTGACTGATTTTTAGGGTACCACCCATAAAATACAGGACTCATTTCGGGGCTTGTTTCTGCAGTTTTAAATATCCAAAGTATGAAAAACTGATTGAAATGTACTAATGTGAAGCAGTGTGTGTCAATATCATAAAGATTGCCTTAATCAGAATATTTCCGATCCTGTTTTGCATCTCTGAAATCGCATTGGATGCCTTAACTACAAGTATGTCATCATCAGTGGAGGCCACCAGTGACAGAGCCGGTTATATGGGTGCTGACATTTGGACAGTGACGTCAGAGCGTGTGCCGCTGACGCCACGACCTACGTTTCCAAGAAGTGGTTTCGCCAACCGCTGCCACGCGTCGGCGCTATTTGATCAATCGGCTGGTCAAATAGATGCAAATGAGGTGATATCGTAAAGGAAATAAAGGGCCTCGCTAGTAATCTCCAAGCAGATCTTTCGGTGCCTGCTATTAAGAAGTCAAACCCAGTAAAACTAGTACCATGTATGTTGTAGAATATCAAGACATTCTTGAGAAGAATGTGTCAGTCTCAGGGTATATAGGACATATAGATATAGTCTCACATACCACTGTATTTTCTTTCTTATGTTGTTTGTAACTGCCCTCGGGCAAGTATTTACACTAAACTTTCTGCTATTACGACAATATCAAATTGGCAAGACAGTATCCATTGGCTAGTCCCTACCAGACTAACTACGCTGGCTATATATAGGAGAATATTTGTCAGGGGAGTTTGGCCGCCTTGTAGGTTTGACTGGCCGCGCAGTTAAAGAAACAACCAAGGACATTACTAGTATACTGTCTTTGCAGCCACCGAAAGATCTGCTTGGAGATTAGATACTAGTAGTATAAGGTCCAAATCCGTATTCAGCTAGCCGAATTTGAAGTTGGCCATGGAGTCTGAACGAAGTATAAAATTATAATTACGGCCATATCACAACTTTTTGGTCTCCGTCAGATTTTGGCTGCCGTTTCTGAGGTGAAAACAAAAATGCGGACCGGAAACAAGCACACACACACCCGAATCACCTCTCCCCCCCTCCCGAATCTCTGTTCTTCTAATGGACGTAACCTTAAAGACATAATGGGAGAACCAAAAGTGACAAGCTTAATGTCGACTTTATCTTAATCGGCCAACGTGCAACGTACAAAAATATCTCTTTTCATCGCAGACACCTTTTGTAGTCGAGAAAAGAACCCGTTTGTCTGGCCGGTCTTGCAAGAAGAAACGCTCAGTCCTTCTTGGCAAGCTTTCAAGCATACTTGGTAATATTCTGTATCTGTATCGATATAGCCGGCATCAGAACCGCCCTTCGGCGTAACACACCAGCTTCACAGGCACGCGGCGCGGCGGCTAGCTATATCACACCGAACGACTTGTTACACTCGGTCTTTGCACATTTAATTGCAGGAGTTTCTAGTGATGATGCGCCAACTGTGCTTGGTGGCTACGAGTTCCAGTGTA